CCCAGTGGTTTTGGATACGTGTGGTGGACCTGTAACCCTCAGGGGTGGCCGAGAGCAGTGAGTGAGAATTCATAGAAAGCTCGGAAGTTCAGGAACCAACATCCTGTCACCTCTGACCTCCTTGCATTGGGCAGTATTTTTCCACCCACTTACTATTTAGACAGAGACAGAGGGCAAAGAAAAAAAACAGAGGCCCAATTTCAGGAGCTGGAAAGGAATGAAAAACCCAAACTCCTCTTTCCTCGAATCCTGAGTGACTGGGCTCTGGCTTCTCAAGACCAGGGAAGCTTTGAAAGCTACATGTTGACACTTAAGGAGCATTCTGAACCTTGACCCTTGGCCTCTGACCCCCAAACTGCAAGATCCTTTATGTGGCTCTGCTGTGGAAAGGAAAGGCAGAAAAACTGATCAAATTACTTCCAAGATTTAGAAGCTTTCCTTCCATCTTAGCAGTAGAGGATGGGAAGCTGCCATTGCTGTTTCTTGTTATTATAATAAATTGCGAGAATTTCAAAGTGATAGGTAAAAATATTTTGTAAAACCTGGTTTTTCCCTGTGTTTCCGTAAAGATGGGTTGTATTTGAAAGTATTCACTGGGGGTGGGGTGGGGAACAGACACTAAGCAGGACAGCAACGTCACAGTTTAGAAACACGTATTTATTGAGGACTTAGAATGTGCTAAGGCTCCCAGACTCCTCTGGGAACTTTCTGTCTGGTAGTGAACTTGAGTTAGCAGAAGGAAGACAGCATCAGAGGCGAGCTTAAAGGGCACATCTGTTAGGGGGTCAGGAAAAGGGCTGCTGAAAAGGGGCCCTAAAGGCTGGGTCGAGGGCAGGGTGGGGTGGTCAGCCAAGTGGGTAGCCCAGGGCATTCTAGATGGGAAAGGCTGGACATAGACGTGGAGGCCAGCAGACTTGGACGGGTTCCAGGAACCCAGAGTCACAGATCCAGGGGCCAGCAGGCAAATTTGGGTGGCTCCTTGACTGGCCATGTATTGCCCTACCACAAGGCAGGTCCATGGCTTCTAGAGCCTTCCTTTCTTTTCAAGAGAAGCCACAAACCTGGATGTGCATGTGAACTATAAAAGGCTATCATATTAAAAAGAATATGAATTTTAACACCGCATTGTTCAAACCAAGCCCGCCTACAGCTTACTCTCAGGCATGGCTCCCGCACAGTGAGCGCCCGCCTGCCTCTCTCTGGTCCTGGCCCTGCCTCTCAGGCTCCCATTTGTGACTTAGCTTAAGGCCAGGGCTCTGGTCCCTGAACTGTGTCTGAGGGGCACTGGGGTACCACAGTATTGTCATGAACAAGAAAGGAAATGACTGGGGTGCAGTTCAGGAAGGCAGTGGAGAAAGTGGGTCGAGGGCAGTGCCTGTGGCTCAAAAAAGTAGGGCGCCAGCCCCATATGCCAGAGGTGGTGGGTTCAAAACCCAGCCCAGGCCAAAAACTACAAAAAAAAAAAAAAAAAAAAAAAAGTGGGTTGGGAGCAGCAGCCCCGACCTCAAATGTTTTTCCAGCGGGCTTGGACCATAAAAGCAAGCAATAGGACCCCAAAGCAGGGTTGTCTCGAAGGAGGCTGCATGGTGGTCTCAGTAGGTAAGAACTTGGGTTCTGGGATCAGACTGTTTAAGCTCAAATCCTGCATCTTCCATTCACCAGTTAGGATCAGGGAAGAGTAAATTAACCTCCTCTTGCCTTGGTTTCTTTTCTTTTTTTTCAGACAGTCTCACTCTGCTGCTCTAGGTAGAGTGCTGTGGCATCATCATAGCTCACAGCAACCTCAAACTCCTGGGCTTAAGCAATCCTCTTGTCTTACCCTCTGGAGTAGTTGGGAGGGACTACAGGCCCCTGCTAGTTTTTCTATTTTTAGTAAAGGCAGGGTTACTCTTGCTCAGGCTGGTCTCAAACTCATAAGGTCAAGTAATTTACCCGCCTCTGCCTCCCAGAGTGCTAGGATTATAGGTGTGGGCCACCTTGCTGGGCCTTGCCTCAGTTTCTTCCTCTGTAAAATGGGGATTGCAGATTGGCCTACCTACCTTGCAGGGTGTGGTGGAAATTCAATGAGGTCATCTATAAGAAGAGCTTGGAACAGTGCCTGGCACAGAGTAGGCACTCCAGACACACATTACAATGAAGACCGTTGCAGAAACTAGAGAATGTAGCAAGCCGAGCTGTGAGATCCCCCAGCCCTCAGGTAAGCAAACGCTGGACCAGTGCAGATTGGAATCATCACCCAGATGACCTTTGAAGACTCTCAAAGCCAAAGCCACACTCCAGAACTATCAAGTCACAATCTCTGGGATGGGTTCCAGACATCAGTATTTTCTGCAAGTTTCCCGGGAGTTTGCAATGGGCAGCTAAGTTTGGGAACTGGCGCTAATCTAGAACCTGGTGTGCCTGAGGCTTGAGCTAGGAAAACTGACTTGGAAATGACACGGCCAGGCCACCATTTTGCTGCTAGAGGTGAAGCGGATGAAGTGAGGGCGGCAGGGCGTGTGACCTGGGGCCCAGCTGGGGCGCTGCTCAGGCTGGAACCAGACGCCGCCGGCACCCGGGTAGGCCTCCGGAAAAGGGCCGGCGGCCGCAGCTCCGAGCCCAACTTGGGCGCCAGAGGGAGCTCGTGGGAACGCGCCACGGCTCCATCCCTGAGCTGGTTCAAACTGGTTTGGGCAGGGCGCGGCCTGGGCGGGCTGCATTCCAGGCCTCTCTGGCCGGCTGGCCCCGGGGCCTCCCCAAGGGCTGCCGACCTAGGTAGGAAGGCCCCTCCTGGGCAGGGCCCTGGGACAGGAGACAAGCACCCCTGAAAAGCTGGGGAGACGTTTAATAATTCAGTCCTCTTTGTTTCAAACCATTTATTTGGCCTCCCCCGGGGGTCAGAGGTGCAGCCCCTGGACAGGGGTTGTGCTCAGACTCGCGGGCGTGGGAGCAAAGCAGACGCCCGGCTCTGCTCTCCCCAAAGGTCCCGAGTCCGAGTGTTTGAGGTAGGGCTCTGGGCATCTGTATTTTTAGCAAAATGTTTTTAAGGCACAATCACATATTTAGGGGGAAAAGACTAGAAATAAAATAATAGTTGGCTAGCCCACTTGGCCCAGGGTGTGAATCGCTGGGACGCTTGCGAAGAACTCAGGGACCTCTTGCCCGACCCCCTCCCCTCGAAGAGCATTTGGGCGATCAGCACGTATAGTTAATATCTCAGGCTTTTTTTTTTTTTTTAAAGTGAGTCATTTTGAGCATTCAAAAAATGTAAATATTGTAATGAGCATCAGCTGAAGAAATAAATCATTAACAAATGTCGCTGAAACCCTTTAGTCCTCCCCCAGGCTGGCCCCCTCCCCAGCAACCACGCTCCGGAATGTGGGGGGCATCGCTCCCGTGCAGATTTGCACTTTGGCTCCATCTGTCTGTATCCATAAACAATATAGAGTGTGGTTTTGCATGTTTTAAAACTGTGTGTTAATGGCAGAGTGCCCTACTCAGCCTTCTGCGACTCATCTTTTTTCCTTAGCATTGTGTTTTCAGATTCAGGGGAAGTTTGTTGTGCGCAGGTCTATTTGGGCCATCTGAGGCCAGGTCTAGGCTTCCCCGGGGAGGTCCCGAGCCAGTGGGCAAGGGGTGTCTAAGGTTGTGCGTCTGACGCCTGGAAGGCTCAGAGCATTCGGAAAACCATGACAATGACGAATGACCAAGTGTGGGATTCCTATAAAACCTTTTCGCTAAGAACCTGAGGCCCAAGTCTTTGCCAAGAATTTCCCAGAAAATGAGTTTGGTCTGAAGACCTGAATATTTGGATACGGAGAAATTAGCAGTGGGTAGATTTGGAAGTGGGAATTGTATGCTGATGAATTACCCAAAAGGCAGATCAAATATGTGTTGAGGCCCCCTAGTTAGGGGTTTCAAATTTAACAGGAAGGAGGAGGGTGTGGGGCGTCTTGGATATTTCAACCCCCAAACCAGCTCACTTTTTAAAGACAAATTTAACATTTAAAGGAAAGTCATAAAAATAAAAACTCTAGGGCGGCGCCTGTGGCTCAAAAGAGTAGGGTGCCGGCCCCATATGCCGGAGGTGGTGGGTTCAAACCCAGCCGCGGACGAAAACTGCAAATAAATAAATAAATAAAAATAAAAACTCTACACTTCCCTATACCTATTTACCTTTTATTACTAGTACTTTGTCCATTGCACCGCTGGGGGAAGCGTTCTTCGGCCCCCTCTTCAGCCCTCTCTACAGCCCTCTAAAGGGTCCAGACACCCTCCAAGGGCGTGGCGGGGCTTGTCAAATCTAGTGCACGTAGGAATTTCCCGAGGGAGTTTATTTTAAAAGCTGACCTTAGGAGAAAAAGAACCACTGCACCCCTTCTTTCCTAACTTTTAAGACTCTCAGCCTGGAGTAAAATAGATGCTTAAGTAGGAAGAGTCTGGGGGGCGCGGCTCTAAGTGCAAAGATCCCCCAGGATAGCGGCTCTCCACGCTGGACGCCATTTGAAATCACCCCGGGAGCTTTAAAAACTACCGAAGGTCAGACCCCACCCCCAAGGGTTCTGATTTAATCGGCCTAGTGTGAGGCCTGGTTTCTGGGCTTTTAAAAGCTCCCCGGGGGATTCCATTCTGCAGCCAGTTCTGGGAACCAGTGCTCACTCGGGATTCTGATAGAGAGAGATGGTTCACAGCAGTGGTTCTCAAATTTAGCTTTGGTTCTCAAATTTGATGGTTCTCACATTTGATTGGAACCACCTGGAAAGCTTCAAAAGCTCCTGATGCGCAGGTCCCACTCCAGAGACTGTGTGTGTTCCCGGCTTTGGAAGTTTTCAAAGAGCTCCGGGTGACCGCAATCTGCGAGCTAGTTTGCCCTCCGCTGACTGACCAGGTGGTGCGGGGCGGGCGCTGCGCACGCCGCTCGCCACTGGGTGGCGCTGCCCGCTCGGCCGGCGCTCCGGGAGCCCCGCGCCGCGGCCACCGGGTGCGCACCTGCCCCGCCTCCGCCAGGCGGGCAGCCGGGCATGCAGCGGGCCGGGGGCGGGGCTCCGAGGCCAGGGCGCAGCGACGGGCTCCCGGTCAGCCTCCGCCAGCCGGACCCCGCCGCTTTCGAGATGCTGCTTGTGGACGCCGACCGGCCGGAGCCGGTGCGCAGCGGAGCGCACGACCTTGCGCTCTTCCTGACCCCAGAGCCTGGGGCCGAGGTAGGCGACGGAGGTAAAGGGGGGCTTGAGATGGAGGTTAGTGGCTCTGAACTCTGACCGGTGCCCTCGGCTTCCCCGCAGCATCCTTTCGCGCCTGGAGTGGGGGCCCCGAGGACCTTCTGCTTCCTAGAGGGAAGGCCGCCTGGAGTTACCCAGAGATGCGCGGCAAGTCGCTTCTTCTCCCTCCTTCGAGCGACACTGATCCCCGGGGGCCCAGACTCACCTTCCATCCCCACTCGGGCCCCACAGCGTCCTCTGTGGATGCGGGGCTGAGGCGTGCTCCTTGCCAGGCTTGCCGCCGCAGTCCCACCCCCGTCTGGTTCCCTGGCCCGGTTGCCCCCGAGCTAGGCTCAAGGCCAGGAGCCGCGCGACAGGCTTCGGCCGCGGTCCCTCCCGCAGCTAGAAAGGAAAGTACTACATCTCTGCACTTTCTATTTTAAAAGCAAAAAATGAAAGTAGGTCTAAAACGAGACCCTTTACCTTCCAGCCGAAGGCGATCTGTAGACGATGCTGTGAAAAAGTTATTTTCACTAGGACTTATTTAGGGCCAGAAGTTCAACTCATTCTCTTTTTAAATCACAGAAGCAGTACAGAAGTATTTATTATAATAGATGAGCATACCTCTTTTCTCTCCCACCCGATGGGAGACATGGGCTTCTTTTGGGGGGGATGAACTGCTTGGGGAGTTAGTGGTGATGGTTGCAGAACTTTGTGAATGTACTGAAAACCGCTGAATCGTACACCCCAAAAGGGTGAATTATTATTGTTGTTATTTTTTGAGACAAAGTATCACTTTGTTGCCCTCGGTAGAGTGCCAGGTCTTCACAGCTCACAGCAACCTCAAACTCTTGGGCTTAAGCTAGCCTCTTGCCTCAGCCTCCTAAGTAGCTGGGACGACAGGTGCCCACAGCAACACGCGGCTATTTTTTGGAGATGGGGTCTCGCTCTTGCTCAGGCTGGTCTCAGACCTATGAGCTCAGGGCAATCCACCTGTGTCCGCCTCCCAAGTGCTGGGATTACAGGCATGAGCCACCGCGCCAGGCCCAAAGGGTGAATTTTATAATTTTATGGTTTGCGAATTACATCTTAGTTTTAAAAATGGCGTGGACATAGTTCCATGTCAGAATGGATCCATAAGCACTAATAGAAATATAATTAGAGCCACAAATGTGTGCCACCTGTGTAATTTTTAGTGTTCTAGGAGCCACATGAAAAAGAAACAGATGAAATTGATTTCAAGATATTTAAAATAACAGTATATTGGGCAGCGCCTGGGGCTCAAAGAATAGGGTGCCGGCCTCATATACCGGAGGTGGTGGGTTCAAACCCACCCCTGGCCAAAAACTGTAATAAATAAATAAAATAAAATAAAATAAAATAAAATAAAATAACAGTATATGTATCCAAAATTTAATTTCAGGCTCAGTTCCCATAGCACAGTGGTTATAGAGCCAGCACATGCATTGATTGAGGCTGGTGGGTTCGAGCCCAGCCCAGGCCAGCTAAACAACAATGACAACAACAACAACAAAAATAGCCAGTCGTTGTGGTGGGCGCCTGTAGTCCCAGCTACTTGGGAGGCTGAGGCCAGAGAATCACTTAAGCCCAAGAGGCTGCTGTGAGATGTGATACCCTGACACTGTACTGAGGGTGACATAATGAGACTCTGTCTCAAAAAAAAAAAATGTAATTTTAACATGTAATCATTATTTTAAAGTTTAATGAAAATTTACCTTCTATTCTTTGTAGTAAGTTTTCAAAATCAGGGTCCCCCCCCCCCGCCTTTTTTCTTTTCATTGTCTTTTGCCCTGACTGTTGCCTGCCATGCAGACAGGTAGAAAGCAAATGAAAATCAGCACATTTCTATTGGGACCAGCCACATTTTAAGTGTTCAGTAGTCACATGAGGCTAGTGGCTTCCATACTGAAGAGCCTAGGTCTGCATCATTCTTTATTCGTATCATCCTAGGATGAGGAAATAATTGCTCCTATTTCCTGAGCACATCCAATGTGCTGCTGAACTGTGTTCACGGGTTTTATCATTGCATCGTGGCAGTGACTCAGTGACTAGAATGATGTTAATATCAACTTTGCAGCTCAGGAAACTGAGGCTCTCACTGAATAAATGACATCGTGTGGATGTACTGTAATTTATAGATAATTCAGAGCTGTTATCTTTTGCCAGGCTGGGTCCTGGGGGAGGCTCAACCCCAAGTGCACTTTGGTCTGGTATCCCAGGGATGCAGGGACAGGCATTACGTTGTGTACAATTTTCCACATATGTTTGCACCCTGAATGTATTTCTGGTTCCTTCTCTCCTTTCCTCTGAGCAGCGAGATGTCATTGTACCCAGTGGCTAAACTCCAGCTTCATTTGTCTCTATTAGGGACAGTCTTCAAGGGAAACTGCCTGTATCAATTTCATTTTCTCACTCGGGGCTCTCTTTAACTCAGACACAAGGTGGCACGTGCTAACTTGTAAGGAACGTTCTCCCAGTTGCTCCACTTAACACGCTCACTGAAGTTTATTCACCAAAAGAAACAGAAATGCACCAGAGCAGAGTCACGGGCGGCTTCCACTTAAAGCTTTGTTCATTAGCGGATACCAGAGCTGAAGCTGTTTCCAGGTTGGCAAATGAGCTGGAACAGGCCTGTAGTTCCCCTACAAACTAGACTTCCAGGTCACTTGTGGTTTTATATGGCACAGTAGGGGTCTCAGTCCAGCTAGCCCCAGGCCTAGGTTGCCCAGTAAAGTTTGGCTTGCTTCACTGAGCTGGGGACACCACAGTCAGTAAGACAGACAAGGCCCCTACCCTCACGGCACTGCCAGACAATAAACGTGTGACAAGTTAGACCTCTAAATGAGATGTCCCATGAGCACTGGGTTGTCTCTGATCTTCAGGAACCTGTGACACATGCTCAGGGCACACAGAAAGGGGCAGGGAAGGCTTTTCTGAGAAGGCTGGAGACCACTGAGGACAGTGCAGAGAAGAGGGAACCCAGAGACCCAGGAGGATAAACAAGGTTATTCTCTGGGTGCAGGCCTGGTGGGCTTCCCTGAGGCAGTGTCATTTTGTGGTGAGCCCTGAAGTATGAATAAGTGTTGGCTTCCGGAGGAGAAAAATATCCCAGGCAGAGGGAGCAGTCCCTGCAAAAGCCCTAGAGGGGACAAGCAGGGGTTTCTGGGGGTGGAGATAGAAAGGAAGCAGCAGGAAATGGGGTTGGAGAGGGGGCACCGGCTCTGCCGGGACTTTGCCTTCTAGGAGCTGCTGAAGCGCAGGCCTGGCCATTGCTTAGCAGGTGAGTTACTGTTTCCAGTGCCTTTGGGGTTTTCTGTTTAACCAGCTTTTTTTTTTGTTCCTCTCTCTGTTTCTGGGTTGAACTTCCTCTTTGGTGTGGGTGGGGGGGATTTCAGGGGAGATATCCGGAAACATTTTCATAAAGTCAGGGAGGGAGAGATGTTTGCTTCCAAGGTACCCTGATTTATAAGAAAGGGGTGTTCCGCTCTCCCCCTCCCCATGGCTGAGCTCTGGTGGCCACTCGGGGGAGTTCTTAGCCAGGCTCTTCTGTCACCCACAATGTAAGGGTACATGGCACACCTTCTGTGTAAGGGGCACAACTACAGTTTGGACTTGACCTACAACATGGACAAACACAAACAATGTAACAGTCTTACAAACAATGTAACCTCATATTACTCTGAAATAAAAACATTTGTATAAAAATAATAAATGAACCATAAAAAAATATTTGAGGGCGGCGCCTGTGGCTCAAAGGAATAGGGCGCCAGCCCCATATGCCGGAGGTGGCGGGTTCAAACCCAGCCCCAGCCAAAAACTGCACAAAAAAAAAAAAATTGATTTAGTTCTTGAGCTGGGACAGGGGACACAGGACCGGTTTTGGTCCACAGATAGAGTTCATGGCCTAGATGAGAGAGAATGAAGGAAGCCAGCACTTTCCCACACCCAGCATCTTTGTTTGAGTGAACAGAGACTGATGTTTGGGAAACACCCGAGACTTTTAATCACACAGGGATTGTTAGCTCAGGGGGTGCAGACTGGTGGCCTAGGGATAGAATCCAGCAGGCTCATCTCATGCGTTCAGTCCATGTGAGTTTTGAAGATGGAGTTTTCTTAGAAAAATCTGTGTTTCTGGGTGGCGCCTGTGGCTCAGTGGGTAGGGTGCCAGCCCCATATACCGAGTGTGGTGAGTTCGAACATGGCCCTGGCCAACCTGCAACAACAACAAAAAAAGAAAAATCTGTGTTTCTTTCTTTCTTTCTTTTTTTTTT